GGGGGGAGGAGACAGCGCTTGCACCCTCGTTGCCCCGCTGCTCCCCGGTGCCCTGCCTGGCCCTCCGAACGGGGGGTCGGGCGGGCCCGTGGCAGCGGCTGGTGGCGACGGCTTTGCAACTTGTTATTSATGTACCTGCTCTGATTTGTCGCTGTCCGGGTTGACGGCCCCCTTCTGTTCTGGTCGAGGGGTTGGTCCTGTCGGAACGGCACCATATTGTAGAACTCTCGGCAAACGAATATCTTGGCCCTCGCAACGATGAAGAGCGCAGCSAAATGCGATACTGAATGTGAATTGCAGAAATTCGTGAGCCATCGATACCTTGAACGCACGTGGTGCCCAAGTCTTCTGCCGAGGGCTCGCCCGCCTGAGCATCATTGGATTCCTCACRACCTCAGCACCTTCCGTTTCGGACAGTGGTGGGGTCCGTGGTCGTGGCTTCTCTCGCTTCCCACCTGGAGAGCGTCGATAGCCTAAAGTGGAAGGGAATTTGAGAGCATTCCAAGTGGGCCTGTGCGGGCCGCAGCCCAAAGTGGTGCGTTTCGCTCCGCCCTGTTGTTGCCCTCCAGCACCCGTTTGTTGGTGGTGGTCTTCGTTTCCCTGAAAACGACACGTAAGGTCGTCCCTCTGGTTTGTGTGGTCGCCGCCTTCCATTCGCTCCCGTGAGCTTGAGGTGGGCTTGCGGTTGGGGGTGTCGGCCTCGTGCTGTGGAGGTACGTCAGGCCTTGCCTTTTGATCTCAGGTCGGGCAGGAGCTCCGGCCCAAGCATATAACTAAGCGGAGGAAGAGAAACCAACGAGGATTCCCTTGGTAGCGGCGAGCGAACCGGGAATAGCCCAGACTGAAAATCCGGGGGCTGTATTTGCTCCCTAAATTGTAGTCTTGAGAGGCAACCTCTGCAGCGGGCCGTGTGCAGGTTCCCTGGAAGGGGACRCCGAAGAGGGTGACAGCCCCGTCGACCGCCGGACCCTGCTGCGCAACGAGGTATTGTCCAAGAGTCGGGTTGCTTGGGAATGCAGCCCGAATTGGGTGGTAAGTCCCATCCAAGGCTAAATATGTGCGAGGGACCTATAGCGAAGAAGTACCGCGAGGGAAGGATGAAAAGAACTTTGAAAA